ATAAGTTCTACAATAGTATAAGCTAGAGTGAAAATACCAACAATAATATATAATGAATAGGCCTACAGAATAATAATAATAAAACCGAATAAATAGAAATAAAATTATAATTAAAAGTGACCGAAAACTAAGAGAAGAATATTTAACGGCAGAAGGAAAATTCACTGATGAATCTCAAGTCTTTATTGAGGCCGTGAGTGTGTGTTTTGAGTTTTAAAATCCATTTCAGTTCTTCTCGTCGTCTGTGTTCAGTAGAGTTTTAAAATCCATTTCAGTTCTCGTTGTCTGTGTTCAGTAGAGCTCTACTGAACACAGACAACGAGAAGAACTGAAATGGATTTTAAAACTCAAAACGTATCACAGCCTATCTTTGCAGTTACGCCCTTTTGCCTTGGGAATTTACTGAAAATTGTGTAGTTATGCCCATTTACCATGCCCTTATCTAGCCCGGGGGACAATTTTTTTTTGTGTCAACATGTGTAACATGATGTACTGACCCCACTAGGCTATATAACTCATTTTCGCCAAAAATGTCTGTTACGCCCTTTTGCCATGGGGGGCAGTATACGTATGTATAGTAATAAAAATCAGTGGTGGTGCTGCATAGGCAAATATATATAATCAATAAAACAACAGACGAGGTAGTTAATTTGAAAAATTTGAGTTTCTATTTCCGCCTTTCTGGCTCTTTGTTATAGAATTTGCCTGTTAGTTAATATATTTTTCTTTATTTGCTATTTATCATGTTGAAGGGGGTTTAATCTAAGCGGCTCCCTTATTCTATGTCATAGTTTATTTCCATTATCGTTATTGCCGACTGAGATCTGTGTTCCCATACTGATAGATTCATTATAATTACAGTAATAATGAAAATTAAAAAAGAAAACAAGTAATCAAAAATATAATTAGTTCAGAAAGAGCAAAATTAAAAAATAAAATTAAAACCTAATGAATTAACACTGGACAAAGAAAACTAAATACATGAAAAGATACTGAACAGCCCCCCTCACCCCCGTTAAAAGGTAAAAATGTATACGTAAAATTAAAAAAAATATACAGTAATTAAATAAATGAGTTCAATAAATAAATATACAAATAATAAATACACAAACAATTACACACACACACACACATATATATATNATATATATATATATATATATATATATATATATATATATATACATACATATACATACATACCCATACATATATATACATGTACCTACAAATATACATACTCACATATACATATACATGTGCATATATACCCATATATACATATATACACACACACATACATACACACAAGTGTCCATATATATACACATACATACACATACATACATTCACATACACATACATACTTACACAAATAAATACATACATGCAATGTAGTTGTATGGGAAGTTGTAGTCACTAAGAAAATCAATGTGGGGTAATTATTGAATCTTTCTTATTCATGCTACTATCAGTGTCATTACTCAAAATGATGATGACATAATTAATGTCGAAATATTTTTTTATTTTATTTACCATTTTATTCATTTAATCATACATTACATTCAAAATGAAAATAAACAAAATTAAATAAGTGCCCCTTTTTTCAATACTTAGAGTAGTATACATATAACAACATTGAACATTTTTATAAATTCTTTTACTAGTGCAAATATATTGTATTTCATATTCAAAACTTGTACCACTACGTTAGGTGAACTATTTATATACCAGAAGCCAGGGTAAGGCCATGACTTGAAACATTTGAATATTCATTATTTATTTGAAGCTTTGAAAAAGAACATGCAGTGAAGACCAAAATGAAAAGAATTTCTCTTGATTACAGGCGGAAAAATATATATATCTTGTAATATTATAGTATTTAACAATTTCTCTCTTTATATTTGTTATATATGGTAATACTTTCTGTTTACTATTTCTATAGATAATTTCCTTTACTAATATAATAACAACATTTATACAGTTATTATTTTTCCCATTCATTCCAAGTATTATCAGTTCCAAACCTTTCCATATCTTATATATTTTTTCACAATCCCAAAAAATGTGGTCAATTGTTTCAGGAAACTGCTTACAAAAAATACATAATGGTGAATCAATGTACTTTAATCTATAGAGATAATTTCTCGTTGGTAATATATTATGTATAATTCTATACTGCAACCATTTAATAATAATAATAATTTTGACTTATATAGCGCATTATGCTAAAGCCTCAATGCGCTTAACAGTAAAAATAAAATTCGGGGAAAAAAAATTAAGAAAAATACAAGTTAAAAAGGTGAGTTTTTAAAGCTGCCTTAAAATCATCAATGGAAGTTGCCTGTAGGCAGAGCATTCCAAAGAAAGACAGAAGCCCAAGAGAAAGAACGACTACCATAATGCTTTGTCGACGGGCGAGTGGAATGAGCAAGTAGAGACTCTGAACTAGATCTCAGAGACCTCTTAGGAATGTAAGGATGAATGAGTTGTGAAATCCGTACTCTCTGTACATTTAATTGGTATTATATTAAACACTTCCCAATGTTTGTCAGTGAGCTCAAAACCTAATATTTTTTCCCATTTGGAATTACACGGCAACTTAGTAAATTTTGAATTGAGCAGAGTATTGTAAAAAAAATTGCATCCCTTTCTAGAAATTTGTAATTGAATTATATTATTAGGGTAAATTGGATAGCATTGGGCGCTTGTGAATTTTCTGTAAACACTGTAATAATTATACTGTATTATGTAATATTTTTGTTGATTATCTTAAAAACGGAAGCTTTCGGCGTTCAATCGTTGAAAACTGAGGTTTCAATCTGGGTATTTTTAGTTAAACCGCATAATCGTCTGTTACTATGGACATTATTATTTAGTGAATAGAATAATTTTAATAAGCATATATTACACCTATAATATAACCATTGGCCAAGCTTGCAAATAATTTGTCAAGTTAAAAAGAGTAGCAGTAGGACTAGAAAATGTACAGTTTTTAATGACTTATGGCCGGAGAAATATACGCCGGGTTTCATGTGGGATTTTTAAAGTCGGGCACTCACTGCATGCTCCCGACGAGTCGCTAGCCGACGCGATTCTATGTAGAACGCAACTCACACAAACAAACTATAAAACATGGAAACATTATAACTAGCCTCTTACATCTAACACAAGCCTAATCAAGGTATAGCAAACTAAAGGATTGGCTTTAAAAATTTATAATATTCAATAATTATATGCTCTGATTGTCTGAATAAAAACGTTAATATTTGGTTATCTTATTTTTAGATGATCTGAATGACTTCATCGATGGCAGAAAAAGCAAGAATACAGATCTGTTAACATGCCGCCTTCAAACATTCTATCAAAAATTTCACGAACTAAATGTTTGGACTCCTTTGATCTGGTGACCGATTTTAAAAGATGTTTAACAACGTCAGACTTATTCCTTTTAGGAATCGGGAATATGGTTGGCTCGGGTTTATATGTTTTAACAGGGGAGGTAGCCAGGAAAACCGCAGGACCTTCTGTAGTTGTATCGTATATATTGGCTGGATTAATGTCATTAATGTCTGCTATTTGCTATGCTGAATTTGGAGCACGGATTCCAATAACTGGCTCAGCCTTCATTTATACTTACGTCACTATGGGTGAAATATGGGCATTTCTTATTGGTTGGAATCTTATTTTAGAGTACATTGTAGCTGCCGCTGCTGCTGCATCGGCATGGGGTGGATGCATCGATCAACTGCTGGATAACCAGATAAAGAACACTACCATACATTTCATATTGAATGGGAAACCTTGGGAATCTGATGTATTAGCAAGATATCCAAATTTTATTGGTTTCGGCATAATATGTGCTCTGCTGGTGTTGGTATGCATGGGTGTCTCGTGTTCTTCCGTCACCATGAACTTTTCCGTATGCCTTAATGTTTTGATAGTTTCAGTTATTTTTATTTTATCAATGACTAAGGCGGATATTTCAAATTGGAGTTCTGGAAATGGTTTCTTCGCGTTTGGTATCTCAGGTGTTCTTGCAGGATCTGCGACCTGTTTCTTTGCGTTTGTTGGGTTTGACGTCATTGCTTTAGCAACAGAGGAAGCTTTAACTCCGGACAGGAGCATGCCAATAGCCTCAGTGTCTTCGGTCGTATTTGTAATGTGTTTGTACGCTCTAGCTTCTATAGCTTTAACATTAATGGTGCCTTACTATGAAATCGTACCCGAAGCAGCATATCCAATTGCCTTAAAAACTATAGGTTATAAGTGGGCCGAAATTTTAGTTGGAATTGGTACCTTAATTGGGATGACTTCATCCATCCTTGGTTCCTTATTTGCTTTACCTCGGTCAGTTTATGCTATGGCAAATGAAGGACTAATATTTCCATGCTTTGCATTAATAAGTAAACGTACCAAAATACCGATTATATCAACATTTGTTTTTGGAGGTTTAGCTGCGTTACTTGCTCTTTTATTTGAACTTTCGGCTCTAGTGGAATTCCTATCAATTGGAACATTGATGGCATATGCTATAGTAGCAGCAGCAGTAATAATTATACGATATCAACCAGCGACAGGAAACACAATGGACAAGGAATCTGCACTGAATTCCTCTGCTCCAGTCAAACGTGACAGGTATGGAACTCTCAAAGATCCTTTTAAAGACCTTCCAATAATCAAAGGCCTACCTCCCGGAAGAGCTGTATATATATGCTACTTTGCCTCAGTAGTATTCCAGTTTCTTTCTATGGCCATTGCAATCAAAATGTCTGACTTCTTCGGCAAATGGTGGACACTAATCTTGGCAACAACACTTGGGTTCTTCGCCATTTTGACGTTCATTCCAGTACCTTTGCATCATCAAAACCAAGATAGAACAACATTTAAGGTAAATAAGTGTAATATAATCAGGTCGCAATGATAACTTAACTAGGCCTATGTCTGTATGCAGTGGGTATATACACATCT